ATGGGAGAACGGACTCAAAACTTCACCCTGAACTCAACTAAATATCTTTTATGATTTGGCAAAGGTTGGGTAAGCATGTTTCCACAAACCATGTAAATATTCTTTCTCTGAAGAAAGGAGATTGATGGATGGTCTCAACATGGCCCATACAGCCCCCCACTATCCTCCTCACTCTCCTGGCTCACTCGCTGGCTTTCTCTCAAGATCTTCCTTTCGCATCTCTATTAGCAGGCCTTCTGGACGCTCACTTTGCCACCTCATCTGTGACCCTCGAAATACTCATGCCTCTTGCTAATTTCTTTCACTGGCTCCCTAATTAGCTACAAATCAGGTTAAAGATTCTGGCTGACTGGGTTTTTTATAAAACTCATCATGCAGTTACAAAGAACTATGGCATGAGCCATCCATTTAAAAATAAATAAATGTCACTTAAAATGGGTTAATCTTGAGTATTTCTGTAGATGTTAGAAAAAAATGTTAAGTGGAATGGTTATTGCAAAAGGCAGCTCATTTCAACTTGAAAAAAGAAGTGTGGCTGGTAGCAGTTGAATGCATGTGTCTTTATTGCATCTACACACAGATGCCCCTAAGAGACCAAAACATTCCCAAGGAAACCAAGTTCAGCAAATAGTTCATACTTTCTAGTGTGAGCAGAACCAAATAACTCAGTCAGCTTAAGGAGCAACACTGATTTTGCCAGCTGAGAATCTGATCCATAGAGCTTTTGTGACACAATTGTGTGGGAATCTGTATTTTTGAATATCTACAGGAGCAGGTATGTGGCCAGTTTGATGAAACATATGCTACTACCACTTATTACAAATCTGCTTGTCAATGCTCCTGACAAAGCATCAGTAAAGTATGCCATGGAATATTAAGTTAAGCGCTTCATGTATTAATTACTATGTTACATTGAGTCTTTCTCTGTCAGCATTTGTCTGCCTTTTTATCTCAATGGCAGCATCCCTTGCTATTTTATACTAGTACATGGTAATGAAGTTATCGTTTACTTATAAATTACCTTATTATGAATAGAAGGCGATCATGGTGCTCCACTTGTGTCAGGCTAGGTGAGTGTGACTTGAGCACTTTATAAATGGAAAAGTCCAGTTCTGTATTCATTGCGGGGGCATCCCACTGGAATGTTCTATATGAACTTTCTGAGCGCAGGCATGTTAAATTTTCCATACTTACTGTATGTTAATATCTGCATATCTTGGGTTCTTATAGTCCTGGTTCTTTGTTGTAGGTTAATATCACGTCCTTTCTCTTGGAAAATGCAGTGACACACCACATAGTGGAGATTTACCCTGCATTTGGCCACCTTTCATATAGAGTCCTGCACAGATAAACATCTGCTTGTCAGCTGGTCAAGGCACCAATCCACGTGTGCAAGCAAGCATGCTCTTTTTTCCTCTGAATACTAATAGAGCTCAAAACTTCAGGGATTCTGATTTTGAGCTCTATGAGTATTCAGAGGAAAAAAGAGCAAAAGGATGCTTGAAATGTCAGGCTTGTATTTTATGGAGTGAACAGGGTGCTGGTTGCAGTGGTGGATGGATAAGCTGTTTTCTTCTTCTTCTTCTACAGTTGCTGCGTTCCAGTTTTGGCTATCAAAAGTCCCCTTTTTTTCTGGGTAGTAGGTATTTCTCAAAATGTAGGCCTTGATTTTGCTCTTACCCCAGTGTAACTCCATCAGTTGTTTGGTGTTACACCTTACCTCCACGAATTTAACTGGGAATGGGATCCAGTCCCTCACTGAGAATAGCTCCGCTCTATATTCCCAAAGCAGCTCTTCACACTTGGACTGCCCCATCAATATAGAAGTCTCGAGTCACTTTCTCTCTTCCCGCCCTGCCATACACCCCTCCTGTTCACTTCGGTCTAGACCCCGTTCCCCACCAACCCCTTAAACTTTCATCCCAAATTACATCACATTACGACATTTACATTCCAACTCTTCTTCATGACAGTCCATCCCTGTGCAGCATTTTTCCCTTTCTACTCATACAAGAGTCATTGACAACACTTCTGTGCAGCATTTTCCTCTCCATACAGCATTCAGTGATGCTGAAGGACACTATATGAAACTAGATTGTATTGTCTAGTGAAATAAATAGCAGATACTTAAGGACTGACAGGTAACATTCTCTTTAAGAGAGAGGGTCAATTTCCAACTGATTATAGGGATGTAAAAGGGAAATAAATAACAGGTTGGCTTTTAGTTTTTAAGTGTATTTCCGATTGTGCTGGCAAAGTAACCCTAGAGACAATGGATCAACTTAATCCCGGATGCAATGCTGTTTATCTGTATTACACCAGGGATGAATTTGGCCCATTGGCTCCAAACCCTCTTGGATACCTCCTGAAATCGTATGGTGAAGCTATATCAGAAAAGAGCTTTAATGTGTTTGAGGCTAAGCTACAAAAGGGTCAGATCCTCAGCTGGGGTAAATCAGGGTACTCATGGCAGCTACCTTAATTTATTCCAGTTGAGAGTGTAGCCCTGAGTTTTTGGACCTGAGAGGTGAAGATTGCAAGTAGAAAGAGACACAAGTAAGGTTAAAAAAAAGAGTTGAAGAACAGCATGATGGGGCATCCCCCTGCCATCCAAATCAGGAGAAGGTTAACAAGCTTTTCTGGGCTCAATCCTTACCAGACACACCTGCAGAACCTGCTCCAGCTGCAGGAAGCAAGCTTAAAAAGGAGAGCTGGTCACAGGAAAGGATGGCAACCAGAAGGAAAGCTGCTGCCCCTCGGAAGGAGCTGACTTGTTACAGAGAAGTGGAGAAGAAAACAATTGACAACCTCCGCTGCCCACAAAGACTTACCAAAACCCAGACAGGCCTTTGAAAAGGGGTTGGGGGCGAGGTTCTGAAACTGTCTGAGTTAGACCCCCTCAAGAAATGCCCTGCCTATCACAGCCAGCATTGTGAAAGAAATCTTTGCTTTGTATGTCTGCTTCAAGAAAACTTGTAAGGGTTTATAAACTCTGACTCTTATTTAAAGATGTATCTTGGCAAGCACCTTGGACTTCCCATTCTATTTCTTCCCCATTACTGGGAAGGTGATGAGCCAATTGTTGCTCTTAAGTACCACAGAACTGATTCAGCTCCCAGGACTACTCTCATAACTACTTTTATATTCACTCCCAATAGGATATTGAGGCTAACTCAACAAGGTAGTAGAATTCTTTTTCAAGGGCAGAGGATTAGATGGTATTTCCAGTCGTTCCACAAGCTACTATATTACACAGGATTTGTGTGTGTGTGTGTGTGTAAAATCATCTATATCTCCAGCTAAAAGAGATCATTGCAGAAGTGAGCTGCCATTGCTATTTTAAACTGGACAACTGAGTTTATGGGCCAGCTGGTATCAACTGACATAGTTCCACAGAGGAATCTGAGGCAGGGTCTTTATTATATGTTTTTATATACTTTGCACAATTCGGCCATAACCCACGATTGGCGTACCTAAGCCACCGCTGCAAAATAAATAGAATAACTGAACCAATGGAGCTACATCTACTCACACCAGCTGAATATAGGGCCCTGTATTACTTGGATTTGCCACAGTGGAAGATTTACCCAAATTGTTTTTTTGGTTATATTCATAAATCATAGGTTCATTCACCACTTACACAAGCTACCAGCCCTTTAAATTTAAAAATACATATATATGCTGGAAAGTACCACCAGAGCTTTATCAGACCTCATGCTCTGAAAAAAGCTAGTTCTGATGGAAGAAGACGTCCGTTTCATAATGTAGATGCCAGAGCGAAACAGCCCTTTAAATTGATAACTAAAAAATTTCACATACTCAGCTTGAATTGGTTACCTAAAACACAGCTAACGGTTTAGGACTGTGATAAAAAGCTGAATGTGTTTAAAAGTTTGTGTTACCAATAGAGCTGCGTGAAAATGTTTTGCTAAAAATTGCAGATTTGTGTTCAACCGAGACTTTTCATAAATTTGTGTTTGCCCAATTGCTTCAGTTGAGGAATTAAAAAAAAAAAATTTAAAAAGGTAAACATGGTTCAACATTTTCTAAACCAAGCATTTCAGCTTTTCAATTCAAAATAACTTCTTTGCTTTGAATATCAATTCTACTAAAAAAAAAAGAGGTTAAAAATAGTTTAAAAAACCCTTTAAAAATGGAACAAAACATTTCATATAATCTGAAACAATTTTTTTCAACATTCATGGTTTGCTGAAAAATTTGAAAAAAAAAATGTTTCAGATCGACCCCAAAGACTTTTTTTTCCAATCAGATATTCACACAGCTCCAGTTACCAACCACATACAAATATGACTGCAGGATCAGGACTTCAGATATTGTATCACCTCCTCGATGTGCAAGTGACTTTTGTGTTCATGACACAATACTATCTAAAGACAACTTTTCACAGGAAATGGGTCATTGGTTCAAGCTTAAACTTGTGGCCAAAACCAAATGCTCATTATGCATCATACAATTTGAGCAGCTACCTCGAGAGAGAGAAGTTTGATAATTAGGAGAAAAGGGCTATTTTGAATATTGTCTCCATTTTATTTGCTGAGTTCCATTGCTCTATTTGGGTAGGGAATAATTTTAAGTAGAGTCTGTCAGAGGTTTAGTGCCAAAGGTAATATTGTATTATTCACCAGAGTGTTCCCAGATGGCTTTTTAAGGACATAAGAGAAACTGAAGAGGCAATGAAATATTAATTTCTCCTGTTTAGAAGTGGACTAATGCAACCATTCCTTGGTCAACATAAGCCAGATGAGAATTTTAGGGCATTTCAGTGCATGGTTTTGCATCAGTGCCCATCCTGGCTAATAGCCATTGATGAACCTATCTTCCATGGACCAATTTAGTTCTTTTTTGAACCCTGTTATAGCCTTGGCCTTCATCCTTGGCAGAGCTCTTCTTTGTACCAAAACAGTGAGTTATTTCTCTCCACGTTCTGTCCATCATTCAAAAATAATCACAAATCATTTTTATTATTATTTTTAATCCAGAGAAAAGGAAAGCACTTTGGGAATAAAACAACATAGTGTGGAAAAAACATAAATTTGGAAATACACATTCATTTTACAACGAGAACAATTCATTACACCTCTCGAGTGCTTCCTGAGCGTGGGAAAACTCTGCAGCTTCATCCAAACACTCCATAAATCTTACAGGCAGAGTAGGCAACTCCTGTTTTCCTGAGAGAGTAAGCACTTCTTTGTAATTTTAGGACATTTGTAATACAAACCCTAACTAGCTGGATTTCAGATGCTCTGAAATTTAGATACCATGGTCAAGATTTTCAAACGGAAGGTGTGACTACTCGAGACATGCTGAAAAGAGTTTTCAGAGTAGATGTTCAGCATTTTCTGCAAATTAGGCTCCCTCTAAGTGTCTCAAATCTGGTACCCAAGAAGTGAACCCAAAATCGTTAGCTATTTTTGGAAATCTTGGCCACCCAGAGTCTGAAATCCACATAGAAGATAATGTCCTTTATCTGAAATTCCAATTATCGAATGTGTTGGATCTCTGACCATCAGTTCCTGGAACATTTGGATGATTGGAATGTACCTGTCTGTAAATTGTAATAAACATTTTTAAACGGTTTGGAATGTCTATTGATGTCCCGAGTGACATTAGCCATTGCATCCCAGGTTCTACCATATTTTAGGGCCCTGGGATCCATGTTATTGAACCAGCAGTTTGAGAGGCATATGGTACAATTCATTGACAAAGCCAACAAAAATCAAAGCAAATGAAAAGAATTCCATATAATTCAGTGCAATGTATATTAGATTCATATCTTCATGTTCCAGTTTAATCTATAAAAAAATATAATTCAGGAAAAAATAAAGACTAATTCACAATTACAACCACTTTCACGTCATGTCTATCACTGCATTCCATTTCAGTGTCTTTCTTTCTCAACACTGATATATGATGTAAAAATTACAGCAATGGTACAAAACAGGTAATATGTGTTTCTTAATCCAAGTATGTAGAATCTACCTACATTAATAGTCAATGTTATCTTTTTATTATACTGTGTTATAAAAGTACAAATTCATACAAAGTAAACTATTTTCCAGAAAGAAGCTGTTATACCTCCCCTCTGTGCCCTTTAATGTATTATAAAAATCAACTTTTCATTGCACATTACCACACAGTATGAGATTTATTGGTTCCCTGGAATCACTATATCAAGTCTGTATTACTGCATGGTCAAAATCCTGGTTATTTAATCTTCTTCTGAATTGACTAGCTATCATTTACTGTAGGTGAGCATATTTTGTATGTTAACTGTATTTTACTATTTGGAAAGTTAGAAGGAGATGGAATGAGAGAGGCATACATTCACTGTGTTTCTCCTATTCTGAGCCAAAGCTGTTCATTGATGATGCAATTTGATAGATGCTTTTTGTAGCATTTTATAAAATGTGGAAATATTTGCATATTGCATCTGATCAGATAAATCCCATAGGAAGTCGTGGGACACAGTCTCAGTATGAACTAGTGTTCTGAACATTAGCATTGATGACAGCACTAGGACTAATCCCCATGTGACACAGCAGTGTACCAGGGCTCAGAGGTATAGAATGCATAGGTATGAATACAATATTAAAATCCTTTACTGAAGCAAAACAACAGAATTTTCCAAAAGAAAATAGCTGCTCATACTTCTTCACTTCATTCTTGGTCTCTCTTGTGCACAAATGGTTAAAATATTTGAGTGTAAAGTGTTCCCTGAATTCTTTCTGCTTTCATTGGATGAGGAATTACATTCATTTTCCATTTCTCTTAGCATATCAAATCATAATATACATGATAACAGTATGTTGCCCACTAACTTCCGTAGACTGCAGATGGAAAACAAAGAGCTTTTGTCTTTATCTCATCTGATTTAAATGTGAAATATTAAGCATCTCCTTAATTCCCCTCTAGTGGATTCATAGAATGGAAAAAAAATTTTAGATGCTGAGGCCAGGAAGTGAGGGCAGATAGGGGAAAAAAACAGTCCAGCTGAATGTACGAAAAGCCACAAATAGTGCATACATAATACCAGATTGCCACAAGGCAGAACATTCTAGTAAGTACTGGAAAAGACTGGTGCCTTAACGTTCTGGGTGGGGCTGAAAAGCGGCCTCAAGACTGCTCTATTCTATATCAGCTGATAAGCCTACAAAGTTATGCTAACTGGGAATCAGAGAAGCACATTGGGAGCTCTGAACCATCCCGCCAATGTGACATGGATACAAGGGACCTGGAGAAGGGGGAAGTCACAGGAGTTCTCTTTGAAATCTCTAAACCCCTATGCACGCTGGCAGAATTCCTAGCTGGCCAATTAAACCAACTTTCTAAATACTGTAGCTGAGGATATGGCCCAATGTCTGTCAACGTTCCAGTCATGCCTGATTTCCTGTCAAATAATACTGCTTTGAGCAGTGTAGCACTGTATAAGCTTTTCATATGGCCTTAGTTGAATTGGATGGATAAAAATTCTAACTAAGAATGCATCACAAACTGAAAATGTAGTATAAACATGAATTGTAGACAGAAATAAACATAGGAAAGAAAACATCTACACAATCCCTGGCAGAGGGACCTTATGATTTTCTCTAGTCCCCAGAGCTATCTTTTTTCAAAAAAAAATCAATGCTAGGGGACCAAAAAATAATCTCACAATCAACAGTCAGGGAGCTTTTTGCGCCAGTAAATAGATTATGTTCCCAGTGCCAATATTTTGAAGGTTGCATTGGGGAGGTGCTCTTAAAGAATGTAGAATAAAAGCTGAACGAACTGCTCAAACCCTAGGAGTCCTTCCCACAGCTCACTCCAAATAGGGTAGACTGACTAGGTCTTTGGAATCTGATTACACCACCACATTCAGCTCTCTCAGGTTAGTGCCTCAGAACGTCATCAAGGGGTATGTTTACACTACCCACCGAGCGATCAATCCAGCGAGGGTCGATTTATTGCGTCTAGCCTAGACGCAATAAATCGACCCCCCCGAGCACTCTCCCATCGACTCCTGTACTCCACTGCTGTGAGACGCGCAGGTGGAGTCGACGGGGAGCAGCAGCAGTCGACTCACCATGTTGAAGACAATCTAAGTATGTTGATCTAAGTACGTCGACTAAGTAAGTAGATCTAAGTACATCAACTTCAGCTACGTTATTCATGTAGCTGAAGTTGCATAACTTAGATCGATCCCCCCTCTAGTGTAGACCAGGCCTTGGATACCTATAGTGACTCCATAATAAAGACATAGTAAAAGCCACCTAAGTGTGTTACATTAAGTATGCTAGTGAATCTGTAAAGTGTCTCTGCCCCAAGAGACTGCTTCAAAACAATACCACTTTAATTCTGAGGGATTGTCTTCATTACGGGGGTAAGTCAACCTAAGTTATGCTACTCCAGCTACATAAATAACATAGCCAGAGTCGACATAGTTTAGGTCGACTTATCCCGGTGTCTTCACTATGCTGCGTCAATGGGAGACGCTCTCCCATCAACTTCCCTTGCTCTTCTCGGAAAGGTGGAGTACCGGGGTTGACCTGAGAGTGCTCTGCCATCAATTTAGCGGGTCTTCACTCGACCGGCTAAATTGAACTCAGCTGCATCGATTGCAGCAGCATCGATCTCTCTGTAGTGAAGACCAGCCCTGAGTTCTGCCTATAAATAATGCACAATAATGATCAGATAAAGAGGCCTTAACACCATTATAAAGTAAGATAAGCTTCTCAACGATTGTGTGGCATCATTTAAAAATATTAAAGGCAGCAAGGACTTAAAAAAACCCCAAAGAACAGGCGCTTACTTCATTTTTAAAAGCCTTGTTGGGGAAAAACAACAGTGAAAAGTAGCTTAAACAAAATTCTTTTTTACCAAATGAATAGATAGCTGAATAAGCATGAAACTGTACTTACACATGAAAAAAATATTCTGTTCAATATCTGTGTTCTAACTAGGTTTCTTAAATTAAGCCTCTGTTCTGATTCCAGGCCTGTGTATTTCCTAGAACAAAGGATTTACATTAATACATTCCAAAATTTTTAATAAGCATCATGATTGTACCAGATTACAGTATATCACATATACATACACTACATACACTTATACTCTGTCCTGTGCTTTATGCAGTACTGACCAACGAACACGAAAGGTTCCTGCAAACTTTTATAAAGTTGGTCCTGCCTTTATTATCATATGTTGAGGGACACAAGGAATTACGCAGAATATAAATATCTAATAGTCCTTGCAAAATGTTTTGGAAAACGTTATCGTTAAACCAGCTTCTGTCACCATTACACTTGATTATGTCCACCCACTTTGCGGACTAACATATGGGAGCCTTCTGTATGATTTAGTCCCATGAGGTGAATACTTAATGAGACACACTGAAATAACATATTATGCTGATGAAGTAATGACATCTTGTAACCCTGCATGAGCACCCAAAACTATTGTGATAGGTGGGGCTGGCAGCACCACCTATTATTGTGTTCCCAACACTTGCCATTAAAAGACCCTGTTTTCAATTGCGTATAACTTTGCCAATTTTTTCCCATTTGGGCTGAAAATGTCCAGGCTGGGTTTTTCCCTCAGTCTGAGTATTATTAATTAGAACTATTACTACTGCCGGAAATGTTCAGTGAAAATGGTTCAGTCATTTCTGAGAATAAGGCTAGGGAAAAATATATTGTTTTGCCTATTTTCACAATGTTTTGACAACGTGAGAAGCTATAGCACCCTCAGGGAGTTGAAATTTGGCAGAGGAGTGTCCTTTGTGTCAGAGGTGGGCCTTTTGCCATCCCTATGAAAATCTGCCCAAATTTGGCTACGGCTGTTACTCTGAAATCTGATCCCTTGAAAATGTGCCTAAGCCCAAACTTAGTGCTCTCTCTCTCTCTCTAAAATGAGTCACAGATTTTAAGACCAGAAGGTACCATATTATGATCATCTAGTCTGCCCTCCTGCATAACACAGGCCATGGAATTTCATCGATCTCTTACTGTCTGGAAGAAAATATGTAGTTTATGATATTTAACTATCTCCATGTATTTTTCCCTATAAGTTTATACCCTTCTCTAGATTTCCTAGTGAATCCTGGTTTCTCTATATCCATCTCTTAGACAGTATGTGTGATGACCAACTTCTTGCTTATGGGCAGGGATTGAAAAGGGGATCTCCAGAGACAAAAACATGAGTTACAGCTTGAGCTAATGGGCTTGCAAGTCATATTTCTTTGTCCAACAAATAATGGCTTTGGAATCCCAGACAGTTAAGCTGAGACTTTTCACACCAAATTCCCTATAAAATGAATGATAAATTAATATTATAATGATGGGCATTCTTTGAATGCATGCAATAATAATGATTAAAATGGGTAAAAAAAGATATGGAAGAACTACTCCTAAGGGAAAAAATGTAGTTAACTGAGAGACTGATTTGTTCCCCATGCATTGCTTTGTACAGCTCCCTAGAACAAGTCCTAGAAGCTGTGATAATGGGAAGAGGGCAGGTGAAGCAGTCAAGTGTAAGGTAAATTCATTCTGGAATTTATCACATGGGTATCACCTCAATCTATGTGGGTGGGGAGGGTACTATGTACAGAAATCAGTATTTGCACAATACTTGAAAAATGAAGGCACTATACAAGTCATATGTTTATTTGTGTATACTATACAGCAAAAAGGCCTTGTTTTTCTTGGGTGATAAAAGCAATTCACTGCCCACTGTGAAGTTAGTGCTGAAATTCCAGCTTCAATGTCCTTGTTATTTCTCTGATTTGATTATATTTTAGTTCTTTATGGACTCACAAAAATATGCACTAATAAAATCATGTTAGCCTTTTATTATCAACTGCTTCACCACACAAATATTGCAAGCCTTAGGATTTCTGGTCCTGGTGAGTATGGCTCTCTAGCAATTAATGTATTTGTTATGCTGGGTTTGGCAATCGATGCTCATGAAAAGATAACAGATTTTTTCAGTATCCTTCAAGGAGTTTGCAAACACCGCATTTTTAAAAAGGGCATTACATTTATTTCAAGGCAATACCGAAAGGAATTTAGTTTGAGTAAACTATTACAATTTACACACACCTTTTCCTACCTGATGTGGAAAAAGTGGCCGAGAGAAAGATTCTATATTAGAAATTCACTGGATATTTACGGCTTTATCTTGCTATCAATTCCCTGAATCTACCAGACTACATGTAAAACCAATGGCAGGACATGACCCGCAGTACCTTTTCAAAGGTAAAATGGTTCAAAAATTATCTGTGAGCACCGACTTACACCTCTAAAATCAGACAAGTTAGAGTCGAGTATCCCATCAAGCCTATGCCGCTGCAGGTGCAGGGGATCATCTCTAGGTAGACATATAGGTACCAGCAAGAGCCGGTGTGCCGTACCGGACCGGCTTCCCCAGGCGGCAATTTAAAGGGCATGGGGCTCCCAGCTGCCTCTGCAGATGGTAGCTTTGGCAGCGATTTAAAAGGTCCGGGGCTCCCAGCCACCACTACTGCAGTGAGAGACCGGGGCTGTTTAAATCTTGATTTAAAGGGCCCGGGGCTCTAAAGGCCCCGCCTCTTCTGGTTGAGGCCAGGCCCCTTCCTGTTGAGGCCCCGCCCCCTGCTCCGAACTGCAGTGCCGGTAAATCCTTTAAGTTACTTTCACCCCTGCATATACTATAATGGTGTTATTTGCAGTAGAATACTTCACGGTCTGTGATTTTAAAACTGGTTATGGTCTAACATTACTGGAGGAAGGGGAAAAGGCAAATTAATCAGGAATGATGCAGTTGTAACAAATGACACAGTATTGTCAAAAAATCTCAGTTGATACAAAATTGGAAATGACACAGATTAGTTTAAAGGGAGATTGGGGAATTTTACATTTTAGACCCTTGCCAACAGGTGTTGGTCTATATTTTAGGCCCCTTTATTGGAGCCTGATTCTGTACCACTGAGGTCAATAAGTGCTTTACCACTGACTTCACTGGGATCAGGATTAAGCCCCTGGGGATCAGTAACCCAAGTGCTAACCTCACAGCTGGGAGATTACGTCTCCTCAGGAAATACAATACAAATCTAGTGCATACAATAAATTGTTAAATATTGTTGGGAAATACAGAACACACAGTTCATATGAAGCAATTCCAACTGGTTAGGAACCACGGTGATGGGTGCTATTGGAAACCCGATGAGCGAGAAGAAGTGCTATGGCAGAAGAAAATGGTGCCATGCCATCTCTTTAGAGTAGGTTTGGAAAGTCAAATTGCTCACCTGCCCTCCAGCAGACAGATCCCTCCACCTAGTGTCAGCTGAAAGGTAGAGAGTAAACACTTTCCTGTGTTAATAGTGTATGATGAAATGTGACAAAAGCAAAGTTGCATGCACTCTGTATCAAATCATTGCAGCCATAGAAGTATATTTATGAAGTACAATATGTGGAGAAATAAAGACTCAGAGTTGTAATAAACTCCCTGTTTTCACTTTGGGAACATGCTCTTGTTAAACAGCACTGACACAAAATTGCACCCTTTGGAGAAATTCTGCAATTTTTCCCAGGTGAAATTTTTCTCCATTCAAACAGAAATGTGGCTGTTTCCATTAGAAATTGAAAAGCCTCCTTTTTATTTTCAAGGGCAAATTTGAGGCAACAATAAACTATTTAGGATCCCAGACAGCAACGACTTTTCCAGTCTGGAAGTCCCAGTGACGTCTGATCATTTTTTCCTGCAGCTCTAACTCCACGCTCTTCATTGTTAAACCTGTTTCTCTACACGCTCTAAATTTTATTGCATGGAGTTATAATAATCTATGGATTTAAAGCCCTAAGGCCCAGTAAACTTTAGCCCTATCAGTCACCTGTTTTGCAAAATTAAATGACTTGCATTCCAGTTGTCCTGTGTGCACTCACATTCACCCCAGGAGCACAGGGAGGTACAAACTGCACCTGCTTCACCCATCAATAATTCCATGCTATGCAGTGGTAGAAGTATTACTGTTTCTCTCAGTCAGGGATTCCATTAGGGGAATACTGCTTTATGTTTCAGATGAGAGATATGCTTAATCTATTTGGGTTGTGCTGGCTATTCTAGGTTCTCTGGAGGGTGGGAATTGTGGGTGGCTTGCACTACTATGATTGCACTGCTGTGAATCCACAGCCTGGGTTCTGCCAATGAAACAATCAAGCCCTATATCTTAAGAACTTCCCTCGGATTCTTGGGGTTTGATTCTCATTTAGGCTAAGGTCCCTTTATACCACTCTGGGAGTGAAGGGTGGCCGTAAAGTGGATGCCATTATAAAGGTTGACAGTTTTGTTAACCAGGGTAGTACCACACCTAGTTCTATAAGATTAGGCACTTCATTTCATAAACATAAACATTCAAAATGTTTTTGGTCAACTCCGTCGACTAATTCAAATCTTTCTGAATCATCTGAATTGTTCATATTAAAAAAAAAAACAAGCACTTTTTATTGAAATTAAAATTCTCCTTTTCCGGTGCAGAAACAGGATAATCAAAGGTTCTTAACTCTCCCAGAACCTAAGCAACATTCACACTATATGCATCATCCCCAGGAGTAAGGATTGTCTCAAAATGTTGGACTCTACCTGCAAGGTATCGAGTGCCTCCTCCTTAGTCCTGCATGCCCTGAACACCAATAGAATGAACCCACATCCTTCAACTTCCTCTCCCCAGACATAAAGGGGAAAGAACAAAGATGAGTTTGTCGAGGAGCTGTAACAAATCTGGGTACTGGAGGACTTAAGGGTGAACCAATGAATTTTAGGGTACTGCAGTCAATATTTTTCTGAGCATTCACAGCTCTAATATACTTACAGCAGTGGGTGTTCCTCACCTCTGAAAATCAGGCCCTTCGCATTTTGCAGGAGGTGTTCAGCACTTTGCAAGACTGAGCCCTTAGTCATAAAAATATATTTTACATACAAAAATACAGCAGATTTCCTTCTAAAAATCAAATCTTGAGTGTTATTCCCCTCTTAGTATGTTTTTACACATTCTCAAAGAGACATTTGGGATATACCATGAACAGTGCAAAAGACTGTTTTATAGTTATTCGAACACACATGGTAGTACCTTTAAACACCGATTGGAAAAAAAAAAGTTGAAAAAACTTTCAATCTCAATGAAATTCTGGTCCGACTTGAACTTTTGCTTAGTGAATTGTAAACAAACTTCTTAGAATGCTGAGAGTTTTCTCATTTCTTTCCAGCAAAGGCAGTCTCAAACACATCAAGTCCTGCTTTGAAGTAAACCTGAGCTGAATTGATGCTGTTCAGCACCTTTGACAAAGCTGCTTGAAGGGTCTCATTTGACTGACGTAGCTTGCAGTGTTCCAGTGCCTCTAAGAGTACTGAAAATTGGCTCATCTTTTCATCCAGCCTGAAAAGAATGTTTCTAAAAGAGAACAATGGAAAATGGGAAACACTTTACTCAGACAGATGAAAACAATTACTTCATCAAAAATCATCAAGGATCCTTCCAAGTACCATCTACGCTTTACAAATGATACATATTATCTACAGCAAACCTAGCCTGCAGCACACTGAAAAGATGAGTGCATATTTATTCTGGTTTTTTGAAAGTGCACCTGTCCATCGCTTTAGGTGCATGTACACTAAAAACATTTACAGATCCTCTGGAAGAACACCCAAACTCTTCCTCACCCACTCAGTTATTCAGGATTCAATTGAACTCACACGCTTAGGCCCATAACACCTCTCTTGAAGTATCTCACGTTCGCAGCGGGATTGCGTTTATTCCCCCTTTTAAAAGATTTTAGTTATTACTGGGGAGCCTATATATGAATGAAATATTTTCTTTCCTTTCTGCTCCTATTGCTTATTTCCCACTTCAATGTCACAGTAGGGAGAAATCCTGGTCACACTGAAGACAATGGCAAAACTCTCACTAACTATAAAACAGGAACATTATTTCACCCGTAGTCTTCTGTGACATCATCACCAGTACAACCATCTTTAGTATCGTAGACTTAAGTCGGAGAATACACTAAAAGGAACAGCAAAACTCTTAAAAAACAAAAACTTGTGTTTTCAGGCAACATCCTTAGGAATTAAAAAAAAAATAACCAAAGAGAAATACAGACAACATAAAAGATGAGCAGAATTATTTATACAGAATCCAATCCTGAAGTTGCTATTGCAGGCAAACCTACTACCAGATTTCTTTGGGAACTTTGTCTGTGTAAGGTATTGCAGACTGAAATTAAAGCTGTTCAGTGGTTTTCATGAGACTTCTGTAGGTCTTTAAAAGCAGGCTATAAATGTTATCTAAATGCAGTAGTAAATGCAGTAATTATTATACCAATTACATAATCATGTAAATATCACAAAACTCTACCCTAGTGGCTCCTTTGATTGCAAACCAAAGTGTGTAAAGTTTCAGATAAAAAGGCCGTAAGTGATTCTATGCAGGACTTTATCCAGAAAAACACAGGGAGGAAGAAATCCCATAGCATGAACATGAAAACAAGTAACAAAGAAAGCAGGACAGCCGAGACACTACATTAGTAACTTAATTACAAGACAGGCCCAATGGCAACTCCAAATTAATAATAAAATTCCCCTGGATACTGACCTGGAAGACAGAAGACTACAAAAGAGTATCTTTTGCAGATTACTATCAGAGTCTTCTAATTACCAGTCTACAAGAGGGAGTGGTAATGAAGTGGCAGGATAAATGGCAACTCAGAACAGCCACTTCTGTTCAGTAGTGTTTTGTGTATAGCAGTGTGTAACAAAATGATATAAATAAAGAGTGACATTTTCCAAGTACATGAAACATCTCAGATCTTTTAAAATGTATTTCTTACTAGCCTTACCTATTTCTAATTCATTTGCTCTTACAGGGAGTATTATATACCCATACAATAATTAGCATGGTGCTGTAGGAATTATAATCTTTGTAAAAACAATGAGGAGTCCTTGTGGCACCTTAGAGACTAACAAATTTATCTGGGCATAAGCTTTCATGGGCTAGAACCCACTACTGTATTTTCCACTCCATGCATCTGATGAAGTTGGTTCTAGCCCATGAAAGCTTATGCCCAAATACATTTGTTAGTCTCTAAGGTGCCACAAGGACTCCTCGTTGTTTTTGCTGATACAGACTAACATGGCTACCCCTCAGAAACCTGATAATCTTGCTATCCTCCAACAGGACAGCACCTAGCATATTTTGAGTGCTACACCCAAAAAATAATCATTATCAACATGTGTGTGGGAGGGGAAACGGCATAAGTAAAACTGTGCAGTGCCCACTTCAAAGATCTGTTTAACATGCTTCTGTTACATGTGAAAAGGATGTACCATAAATTCCAAGGTGACTGGATTATGCTGCATGTAGTCACAGGACTACTGTGTAGTATAATGAGTGAAATCAGTGCGTGCTGATAGCCAGAGAGGTGGGTTTTTTTTAAGGTGAGTTGAGGGAGCACTGACAGCCTTGCACTGGGTCCCAGAGCAGTCATGCCCTCAGGGAAGTCACAGGAGAATGAGTTATGTAGCATATCTTACTACTCCTTGAGGGCTTGATCCTACTTGCCCTGAAGTCAAGGCTTCTGCATTGACTTCAAAGGGAGTAGGATCAAGTTCTTTCAGAGGATATGTGCATGCCCCCCTCATGTAATGTTCACAACATACTACAGCATACATACTGGGGAGACTGAATGCCTGGTCATACTCTCAAACCATCAAGCCACACAACCCTGTGGGCACTGGCCAGCACAGAAGCCAGTCACCTTCCTTCTTGATGGGTATGTTGCAGTCCTGTCTGGCACCGTGTGAGGTGGGAAGAAGCAGCTCACTGTACGCTCTCTCCCCACTAAAGCATCCTTTACATGAAATAGAGGAAAATAACACTGATAATTTAAAATTATTTCAACAATGGCTTTTTTAAAAAAAAGGTTAAATTATGCCAAGCAATGAAACATAATGATGGCATTAAGGGATAAATTTTAAACTGTTGAAGTCAATGGGAGTTCTCATCGACTTCGGTAGAGCCAGGAGTTCATCCTAAGTACCTAAAAGCTTTAGCCCTGTAATCTGGATTTAGGTACCTAGATAAAGCTATAGGACCAGATCTTCAACTTGTGTAAATCTTTATATGTCAACTGAAGTCAATGGAGCTATGAAAATTTACATCAGCCACGGATCTGGCCCACAGAGAACAGATGGCAACCTAAAGATGGCAAGATTTTGAGGTCAATTAGAAAGTACATTTTTGAGGCATATAGGGACCTATCTTTACCACACCCACCTCGAGTATTAAAATTTACTGTAAACAAGCCACATGAATAAAACAGATTGTTTATCTTTATGAACATCTACTGGGATCTTAACATATTTTCACTCTGCTGCAGTGATTCCAATGGCAGATTGGTTACAGGCTACTATTTAAGTAGGGCTGTTGATTAATCACAGTTAACTCATGCGATTAACTCAAAAAAATTAACTGTGATTAAAAAAATTAATTACGATTAATCACACTGTTAAACAATAGAATACCAATTGAAATTTATTAAATATTTTAGATTTTTTCTACATTTTCAAATATATTGATTTCTATTACAACACAGAATGCAAAGTGTACAGTGATCACTTTATATTATTATTTTAATTACAAATATGTGCACTATAAAAATTATAAACAAAAGAAATAGTATTTTTCAATTCACCTCATACAAGTACTGTAGTGCAATCTCTTTATCGTGAAAGTGTAACTTACAAATGTAGATTCTTTTTTGCTCCATAATTGCACTCAAAAACAAAACAATGCAAAACTTTAGAGCCTACAAGTCCACTCAGTCCTACTTCTTGTTCAGCCAATTGCTAAGATAATCAAGTTTGTTTTCATTTACGGGAGATAGTGCTGACTGCTTCTTCTTTACAATGTCACCTGAAAGTGAGAACAGGCATTCGCATGGCACTTTTGTAGCTGGCATTGCAAAGTATTTACGTGCCAGATATACTAAACATTCATATGCCCCTTCATGCTTCGGACACCAATCCAGAGGACATGCTTCCATGCTGATGATGCTTGTTAAAAAAATAATGCGTTAATTAAATTTGTGATTGAACTCCTTGGTGGAGACTTGTATGTCTCCTGTTCTGTTTTACCCACATTCTGCCATATATTTCATGTTATAGCAATCTCGGATGATGACCCAGCACATGTTCGTTTTAAGAATACTTTCACAGCAGATTTGACAAAATGCAAAGAAGGTACCAATGTGAGATTGCTAAGAATAGCTATAGCACTTGACCCAAGGTTTAAGAATCTGAAGTGCCTTCCAAAATCTGAGAGGGATGAAGTGTGGAGTATGCTTTTAGATGTCTTAAAGGAGCAACACTCCAAAGCGGAAACTACAGAACCCGAACCATCAAAAAAGAAAATCAACCTTCTGCTGGTGGCATCTGACTCAGAGGATGAAAATGAACATGTGCCAGTCTGCTCTGCTTTGGATCGTTATCAAGCAGAACCCGTCACCAGTAAGGAGGCATGTCCTCTGGAACGGTGGCTGAAGCATGAAGGGACATATGAATCTTTAGCGCATCTGGCACGTAAATATCTTGTGATGCCAGCTACAACAATGCCATGCAAACACCTTTCTCACTTCAGGTGACACTGTAAACAAGACGTGTGCAGCATTATCTCCTGCAAATTGTAACCAAACTTGTTTGTCTGAGCAATTGGCAGAAGTCGGACTGAGTGGACTTGTACGTTCTAAAGTTTTACATTGTTTTATTTCTGAATGCAGTTATTTTCTGTACATAATTCTACATTTGTAAGTTCAACTTTCATGATAAAGAGATTGCACTACAGTATTTGTATTAGGTGAATTGAAATATACTCTTTCTTTTGTTTTTTACAGTGCAAATATTTGTAATAAAAATAAATATAAAGTGAGCACTGTACAACACTCTGTGTTGTAATTGAAATCAATATATTTGAAAATGTAGAAAACACCCAAAAATATTTAAATAAATGGTATTCTATTATTGTTTAACAGTGCAATTAATCACAATTAATTTTTTTAATTGCTTGAGAGCCCTATATTTAAGACAAATACTCTTAACTGACCAGAGTACAAATCAACACAGAATGAGGCATTTTTAGTTGCCTGGTGAATGTAAGAGACAGGAGAGCTTTCATCATCATGTAAAAGAAGATCTTAACTTCTGCAATAATAATATAATTTAGGAACAGTTGATCTATTGCACAGTATGGTGGAAGCTTTTTGTGATTTATGACAATACTTTAAAAGCATAACAAGTAACATTAGAAGTATCTTTAAAAAAATTCTTCTATGGATTCTCACCAGGATCTTATATTTTCCAATTACTTATCTCTGCATTGCAAACCATACCACCTGTTTT